ACGATACGTCAGAGAAAGATAATTTTCTTTTTGATTTGTAGATAACACCTATAGCTAAGAGTTGTTGACAGAGTCTTATTTTTCAATTATGCTTTCATTTTTTATAGAAATGAGGGTTTATAAGAAGCCTTCGAAGGATATTTCGGATTTTAAAGTTCTGTTAAGTACCAGAAATCAGTAAATGAGAAATTCAAAAATCCAAGATAAAGAGATTTTGATCTATCTATCTTGTAGAGCATGTTGACCTATATGAAAAAATTTCCAGACCTAAAGATTGAGTTTCGGTTGAATTGACAAAATTTTCATCTCGCTTTACTGCAAAGCGGCGACTTTTTACCTGTTTTTAAAATAAATTTCCTTGAACTCATCCAAAACTCAATCTTCAGGTCTGGAGGTTTTTTCATACAGGTGACTCGATATGCTCTACAAGAGAGATAGATCAAAATCTCCTCATCTTGGATTTTAGAATATGTCTCAAGAGATCGTTTTCCCAGAGATCCACGCTAAAAATCCATGTAGACCCAAATGAATATTATATTCGTAATCAGCGTCGGATATTACCTATAACCTTGCATGTTTCAAGTAAAAAAGCGATTTAACACTTGGGGACCTTCGCTCATTAGTTTATTTTAGGTAACTTTATGAGCTCTATTCAGCTAACACAAAGAAATCAATAAAAATATTTGTTATCCTTTTAAATTTCTGGCATTTCATGTGTTTGTTCAAATGAAAACTGAGACTAGGTAATCCCCAATCAAGAACTTACCAGAACACGTACGAACTGGTACCCATTCTGGTAACTGTTCATCCTGGTAACAGTTAGAATCGTTATCGGTTCTTATCAAAAATAGGAAACAGTGTGTCTCCATTCTTGCTATTATAAGCTGATATTTTAGTAATGAATCACTTATATGACAAAAAATTTTCAAAATTTATTATCAGATTCTCATACACAAGAAAAAATCCACAAGAAATGTTCAAACTTATGATTTTTTGATACTTTATAACAGTATACCTCATAATCTACTGATTGAGAGTATGGAATGAATAGGAAAGAAAAGTTATTTGTCTCAAAACACGGTTATATTGGCTAACACCTGGTTTGCTACATTCCAAAGTGCTTTAAATGTTCATAAGAACAAGAACAAAAGTCTCACGGTAATCAATAGAGAGGCTTTTAATGAAATGATAAAATTTTTAGTCGAAAACAGCTACTTTACTCTTGGAACAGTTGGGATTTGACAGATAATAGGAATACCCATGGGTAGTGCTCCTGATCCTTATATAGGAAACTTATTTTTATACAAATATAAATTTGAGTTTGAGTTTATGGAGAAAAATACTCAAAAACTGTACTCGATTTGTAGAGTTTTGAATAAGTACATTTCGATACATCGATCACCTTATTACCGTCAATTCTGATGATAAATTTTGTCATATGATAAACAAGTCATTTATCCTGTGCAGTTAAATTTAGATCGTGAAAATCTAAATGGTAAATAAGCTACATTTCTCGATTTGGAAACTACGGAATAATACAAATCAAACCATATGATAAACGTACCAAGTTCAGTTTTAACATTGTCAGTTATCCGGATTTGAATAGCAATTTTCCAAAGGTAATGGATAATGGTATGATGATATGACAGTTACTTTGCTTATCAAACGTTTACATGAATTATAAAACATTACGGTGGTTAAAACTATATACGTGAAACTTCTTCTACAGGGTTAGGGTTATATATCCGAAATTTCATTAAAGTGCTAAAACAATTTTTTAAAAAGTATGGTTCGAATTTACCATTTTAATGTCAAGAAAAACATCTGATTACAGATCTGACTAAAATAATTTTGCTCTATTTTTTAACTGGATACTTGTTTTAATCCGAATGTCAACATCTTCACAACGCAAAATTTGGTCATTACCACAAAATGGCTTCTCAACAACTGACAACATCATTTCTCAACATCAAATTAAACCGCTGATGATGATGCAGTCATAGCAATAACATCTTTTAGCTAAGGAAGCGTCCGTACACATGAAAAGATAGTACTAGGATTAAAGCTCCGAAACTACCTGTGTCTGGTTTTTAGCTGATAAACTCCAAGAGAAGAGGAAAAGTGATATTATGTTTAAATATATGACATTTAAATCTTTTCTAGCTCAAACTCAATCACAAAAATCTTATTTTCCTTTTGTTTTGAAGTTCAGACTTTGCTCTTTCCAACGAAAAAAGTTTACTCTGTAGCACATTGGGAACATACAGAAATAATGCTTGACATTCATTCAATCACTAGCCGATGGCTGGTTCTGATACACGTCCTTTTACACAGAATGCGATATGTATTAAACGTTTTACTGAAATCAACTTTATTAAAATAACTTACTTTAACAAAATGTCCAATCTATACGTTTCCTGAATTCAAACAATATGTGTGAATCCACTGAGCAAAATATAAAACAAATAATAAAATTCCTGTGGTATAAACGAAAAAAAAAAGTATCCTGTATGAAGTATTTCAAGTTACAGACAAGATAAACAGATAACATCAACAATAATATAACTTAATATTTATGAGAAGAAGAGAGAAAAATCAGAATACAATACACAGACAGACAGACACACACACACACACACTCAAATTTAAATCTAAAAAGCTGGTCATGAGGATTACAGAAACGAGAAAACATAAAAAATAAGATGAAACAATAATCGACAGTTCTAAGTTTCTGTTTTTAGTTATATCAAAAGTTCTATAAAGATCACAAAAACACCATACCAAGTACATGAAACTAAACCGGGTTTAAAGAATCACCGTCAACTTTATACTTTTATTTACAGAAAAAAGAGAACGAAAATAAATATGGCCAGAGAAAACGAAAAGGCGCTATTGGAAAGTTGCCTCACACTTTCCTTTAGGGATCTGTTACTTTTTTAGTTAAAAATCTTTGTTTGCATGGTGTAAACATTCATCTGTCTCACATCATGATTTTCTCACAATTTTCTCATGTTAACTTTGCTACTTCTCACAGTCATTCTACTATATTCCATTGCAAAGATCACACCGTTACAAACTAGAAAAATAAACTCAACTTTCAACTTCAAAATAAACGTACCGTATAACGCCAAAACAAATTATCACAAAAAACTGTTAATGATCTTCATTGAACTACCATAATGCATTTTTTCATCTCAGAACACTAAATATAGATAAAACTACACATAATAGTTAAATAACAAACAAAAATGATTTTCTTTGAAAATAATACAACAATAAACCACCGGATAAGGTGAAGAAAATATATATCCAAACATAAAACAGAAAAGGCTACCCTTCTGAAAACTCTATATGCCATAATCTTACTTAACTCTTGAAAATACATGATTCTTTTAAACGAGAGAGAGGAAGAGACAAAGAGAAAAAATGTACATACAGTAAGACAAAAAAAACATCCATCGGAAATAAGCGACAATAGCAACAACAAAAATAACTTATAAATTTGACCCATCCATTTTGTTCGGAGAATTTGACGATGAATTTGTATATATATATTGAATATCAGTCTGATCGCCGACTGGTGAATGTGTTAAATGAGCTTGTGCATAATCATGTGAAGCATAGACTGATGTATTACGACTATTTCGTGTAGTTGGCTTTGTTGATTTTAATATTTGTGAATACTGATCTTGGGAGGGCATACCATAAGAGTATTGGGTTTCAGTTGTGTGTTCTAATTGTTGAGATGTTGGTCTGTAATGTGGATTATGATTATCGATCGGAGCAGTTGGCAAGGAAGAGTAGCGATGTTGTGCTGTTGTCTGAATTAACTGCGATTGAAACTGATCATTCTGTTGTTGTTGTTGTTGATGATGATGTTGTTGTTGGTGATAATGTGTCGGTGACGACTGATTCATTTCTCGTAAGAGTTTCAAGACAAAATCACGTTTATACGGGTCATTAAGGGAACTTAATAATTGCTGTTCTTCTTCTTCTCGAGAAGAAGCCTGGTTATAATAAGTGTTAGATTGAGATTGATGATGGCTACCAGTTGTACTCTGGTTATTGTTTGCTAAAATGATAAAAAAACATCAAATTAGAGCACTCAGTTTCTCAAAACAAGTTAAGAGTACGAGGACAACTACTTAATTTACTAGGATACAAAAACTTTGGATGAAGAATACCCCTTATGCACTGACAGCATTCTACAAGAGAGTCCAATTTTCAATTTCAATAATAAAGTCAAGTACATGTACCGTGAAATATTTTTGTTTTAATTTTTATCAGATCTGCTCGTAGCACCACATTTCTCATTTAGAGTGGCATAGGTACTTTAAGTTTTCATTTTATACATGCTAACAAAGAGTTATAAATAAGAGAAGGGATTTGACAAACCTAGTGATAACATTAATAAATGTTGCTCATTTTGTTGTTGTTGTGAATTCGGTGATGAAAGGCGTGTCGTTGGATAACGATAATGTTGTTGTTGTGATGGTGGTGGTGGTGGCGGATGATAATGATGATGTTGTCGAGTCTGAACATTTTCACTCACGTGTTGCTGTGCTGCATACATTTTTTGAGCCGTTGTCATATCTTTATTGTAATATGATGGGATTGTTACGGGTGAAGCAATACTCATAGTTGGAATATCATCATCAATCATTTTCATCGAATAATCACCATTATGTTGATTCACAAACGTTTTCTTTAACGGCAAATGACGGAATTTTTGAGACGATCGCATACTGCAACCAAAAATAACATGAACATATTTTACATTTGACAGACAATCATAAGCAAGAGCTTACCCTGAATCTTGCTTATTAATCAAAGTGGATAAAGCATCTGTCTGATCTGTTACTGAGAAGCGTGGTATATTTGTATTTCGACAACATCCATCACAACACAACTCATTATGGTTCGTGGGATTGGTCGTATAAATTCCTGTTGATCCTTTTGGAGATAAAACTGGTACTTGATGATCATTAATTTTTATTAGATTTTTTGAAAGATGCTGTACTTGGGCGGTTGCTGCTCCACTTCCATCTTGTTGAGGTGGCTGTAATGGCGATAGTTCTTGTTTAATATTTACATCCGCTGGATTACCCGGTGAAATAACATTGGCTGCTATCGATGGACTATTGTCGCTATCGTTTCCACATAGGGATATATCATACTCTAAAGATGTTGTTTGCGACAAATCACGTGAATAAGATAATTTTCGTCTCTTTTTCCATATGTTTCGTGGATCTGTTTCATCGCTATCTTCGGCTGTTAACGTTTGAGAACGTTTTCGTTGTTGTATAGCGTCTAAATCATCTGAATCCTCGTCACTTTTAGAACTTTTACAATCACTATTAGTTTCATCTTCATCATTAATACTTAATGTTTTATCTAATTTTATAATATCATCGTCTTCTTCGATTTCTTCGTCTTGTTTATCGGTTGTTTCGCAAGTACTATGACGTTTTTTCTTGGTCAAGACAGTACTACCGGTTCGTACTGAATTTGAATTTTCTAAATAAACAATTTAAAAATATAACATGTGTCACTTCTACTTAAACTGAGAGATTCGCTCATTTTACCTGCTGCAGTCGAAGATTGTTCTACCGTTGTTCCAGTTAGTCCTGATGTGTCTCTGATATTAATTTCTTGTACTAATGGATTAACATTACTTATTGCCATAAATTTCTGTATAACTTCACTATGTTCTAATCCCAATGTTCGTACATCAATTATTTTTAATAATAATTTTGGATATATTTGATCAGTTCGCTCCACACCGTATCTCCAATTCATATATTTTCGCAGTAAACATGAATATTTAATTTGTAATCGATTCACAAGTTTAGTATCAACTAAATTTGCCCGATCAGGTGAAAAAAGAATAATTGGTACTATCAAAATTGTTGATACTTCATCTGTATATAAATTACACATACTACTTAAATATGTTTTGGTTTTTTCATACAACTCTAAGCCCCAAAGTTTAATTAGCATTGCATCAAAATTTAATTTTGAATTATCAATTACGGCATGTTGATCACGAGATAAATAATTATTAAATGTTTGAGTCTTAGGATCGAATAGTGTATTCGATGAACAGACGATTGTTTCCATAGCGCTTCCTTTAAGCAATTTAACTTTATCATCTTCGGAAAATAAATTAAAATCTTTTAACATTCGTGCAAATAATACTAATCGTTGTATAGGAATTGTTAAGAAATTAGCAGCTGGATTCATTGGTTTAGGTGTTGTGATATTCGTTGTGGCTGAGGTTGATGCAGCTGGATTACTGACTGGTTCCAATTGACTCGGAAATTCTAACTGGTACGTACTATAATTAAAAATAATATTATATAAAAACTCCTAGTAAACTGCTGTGATACTCTCACAGATACGAAGTAATTAGTATATACATACGCTCTTGCTTGATAGAATGCGTGTGCCATATCTTCAATTAAAAGTTTTTCTTCTTTTGATATGTATTTATAAATATCTGGATCTTCATCAATTTGACGATTTTCACGAAAACGTTTACGACGTGAACCATATTTTTCTTCTCGTTCCGCATCACTTAATACCCATTTCTACAATAAATTGAAAAAAAATAAATTTAGATATTTCATAATTTCATATTTTTTTTTTTAATTTTAGAATACATACCGGTTTCATTCCAATCGAAACACATTTGATATAACGACAATACTGGCACACTTTTCGCGTCATTATATTCACTGGACATTTTTCTTTAAAACAAACAAGATGATATGAATGTTTTGCTTTTGTTTTCAACAATCATAAGACATTTTGCATTTATAATTTGACAAAATGCAGATGACACATTTTATTTTATTTAATAATCTAAGTGTGTAGCACAAAAAAAATCACTTGGAAGTCAACTGTGCTTTTCAAATATAGAAAACCTAACTAATTGAACGGCAGTTAGCCAAGGAATCCAGAGAAATATAAACGCTATTTATATTTCTTACAGATATATAAAAACAAATATAAAGATGTCATGTTATAAGTCGCATTGATTAAAAAATTTCATTTCTTCATGAATTATTAAAGTAGCTCATATGATTTTAGTTATCTTCTGAAACAACATTCACCTATATTATATACTCTATTGTACATTGTATATGAATTGTCATGTTTCATGTGTGGCTAATAATTAACTTGTAGAAGAAAAACGATAAAACTTTTGAAAATATAATTGTCTTCTGAGACTAATTATATCGTTAATTAAAATATTTATTAGATAAATACTCTCATATCGTTCATCTAACAGATATTCGAAAAAACTACACTAACAGAAAAGAGGAGCTCATTTGACTAACAAAAAACAGTATGAAAAGACGAATGTTTTACAGTGCAATTAGTAATTTTTTTAAAAAAATTAGTAAAATAATATAGAGTTGCTTTACTCAAATACATTTTCTCTTTCCCTTTATCTTACATCTAGTATTTTTCATAGAGAAGCACTTGACATAATAATAATGAACGCATTTTTGTTCTGTCATCTGTGAAATATTTTACTTTTTTTCTTAAAATGAGAGTAAAATTTGTGTGAGTTATTTCATTTTTATGATAAGAAGCATACATCTTTTCTTTTCAGATTAAAAAATAAAGTACAAAACTGTATAATTAAATACGTGAAATGAACATAGACATATACAAATTTTAACAAGTGATTTACATTTGTCAGTTTTGGATGAAATTATTTTATGTACAAGTTAAATATATTCTGTTTCTGTTATTTCAACATCTGGTTCGTTTTTATCCACTTGTAAATAATTACAGATGTCTAAATTTATTGTATGAAACTGCGTTAAAATATTTATTTATATAATATTTTATTCAGATAGAAAAAAAATTAAAAAATGTCTTGATACTTATTTCTGTTCTGTACATACTGTACATCATTTAGATTAACTAAAAGTATAAGATAAAAGAAAGACATCTTTTTATTGTCATTCTCTCATTTCATGTTTCATATCTATTCTAAGATTTCCTTCATGATAATGGATAGACGGATGATGATGTAAAGAAATCCACTGGATAAAAAAAAGAAACAGAATGTATCTTTTTTTAATATCATAATACTCTAAGCACACTTGACGAATAAAAATGGTTATATATCGAATTATTCGTCAATGGATATCAATAGATCGAAATCTTGACTGATATTAGTTATATAGTCCATTTCAAATCTTACAGTCGAAAATGTTATTAGTAAGAGTTAGAGAAAATTAAACTTTAAACTAGAATTATTGTTACATTTTGTGAACGACTGATACCCATACAATGTGTTGTGTATATTTGCACGTACACACATAGACACTGATATTTTTGAGACAATATGTAGAAACAACAGTCAAAATATGAATTTGTTCAGTTATAAAGGAGAAAAAAAAAATACTTATCATTTTGATTATTTATTATGAAAGTAAAATGAGACGCGTAAAGGTTTCTGTTATCAGAGTAATTGAAATCAAAATATAATATATAGAATAGGAATACTTATAAATTTTACCTTCACATGAACATTTATAATTGGCATGACGTGTACACTGAACAGAACGACGAAAAAAGGCCTTGCAAGATTCACATGAATTCCCACCAAAATGAATTCCTATAACAAAGTCAAGCAGTGAAAAAAACATTTTAAGTTTTCATTTATAGTTTATATTTTACCTGTACTCATATCTCCACAAACGCTGCATAATCGACTTGGTGTTGCTGTCGGCGTTGGAGACTGAGCATTTGTATCGATTGAATTATGTATGGTATCCATTCCTGCTTGTGCGTATAATAAACGTTGTTTTTTTGTATTTTTTATAACCTGATGATCGTCATCGTTATCTGAGTTTGAGTAACGTTTAAGATGATGTTGTTGAGGTGTACAAGTATTTAGTTGTTGATCAATATTTAACTTATGATGTTGTGTCTTATTTTTACAAAATGATAACAATTGTTGTTCAAGTGAGTTATAATTAATTAAAATTGGTTTTTTATTAAATGGTAACGGTGACAAAATTTGATGTTTAATGTACAACCTAAAAAATAATAAGAAAAATAATTTAATTAAAAAAGTTAACATTATGTATCGAAAAATCTTTATCACTTCTTTGAGACCTTACATACATTTCTGAACAAGTTATTTGAATAGAAAATACGGTCTAATAGTAAATTTTACCATTACTAACGAAGCTATATGTATCTTTAAGAGAGAGCGTAGTAGAACAAATTGCCTAGAACTTTAAGTGTTAAGTAACCTCATTTTCATTTCTTTTTTCTTTTTAAGATTACTAGAAGAGATTATGCTCGAAACTAAATGATTTTTGTTTTTGCTGCTTAAGAGCTTTTTTTTTTTCTTCAAGGATTAATATTATATACATCTAACTGTAAACGCACGCATAGATTATAATTATAGTCAATGGTAAAGTATATATTTAACAGTATCTTTTGTTTTAAAAATTCTCACTGTATAATACAAAAAAAAACAGATAAATTATACAGCCAAATGATTACGAACGACACATATAGAAGGATGACATTAGTATAATGCATGAAAAAAATTTATGAAAAAACCAAATGAATATTCTGCACTTTTTTTTCTCCTCTTTTTAAACTAGAAAAGAAAATAATAATAACATTCTCTCACCATCTATTTAGTTCAATTTACGTAAAAACATATCCTCCTTACTTGACAGAAAAATGAAAAGACTTTTTTTTTTATATCCATGACCTCTCTGACAATTTAGTGTCATATAATTTTAAGAACAAAAAAATATTAATAAAATAAAAAACAATTGAAAAGTTAAGAGTCGAATGAAATGAAGAGACTGAACATTTTTCCATTAAATGAAAAATCGTCGAGCTCTTTATATACGATCTTGTTTCCAATTTTGTACGTGACTGAATAATGACTCTCATTACGTCTAAACATGGATTATGAACAAATATATTCTAACAAAGTTTACTAATATTTCATTTTGTAAACATATATTTTCAGTAACTCATTCATATGTCAAAAAATTATTATATAAAAATAATGAAAGATAAATTTTCTCCTATTTCTATGATTGAAAACAATTATCGATACTATCTAATAATTTCGACAATCAATCAACATTAGTCATTTAGGTATAAACAAATGATTCCTATTCTTTATACAAATTTGTACGATTAAATTTTGAGTCTAATTATCACCTTACATCTATTTATTAAATACTGTTAAATTCTTTTTAAAAAAAAAAAATTATACTTAACTTTGTAATGGTACTGGAACAAACATATTATAGACAAAATAAATGATGATATTTTAGAAAGAAATAAAATTTAATTTTCGAAGAATTTTTTGTGAAGAATATTGGTTCAATGAATATCTTACTATTTTTAATAAAAAAACCTTGTAATAAAATAGAACATCAAATATATATGTATATATATATATGTATATATATATATATATACATACAGACCATTCAGTTTATGATGACATTTCTTTACAATGTTTGATATTATTTGTAAATTAAAATACTGTAACAAAAAATCTTAGAATTTAAGTTTTTAATATATAAAACTTGCTTGTATACGAACATATATATAGACAAAATAGACTCCTTCAACTTATATTTATATGTAAATATATACATATATACTTCATTCGGACCCCATAAAACAAAAACAAAAAAAAAAAATAAAAAAATTAAAAAAAAAAAAAAAAAAAAGAAAAAAATGAAAAACGTCTGCCTATTAAGAGAAAACTACTATAAAACAAAATGATAATAATCGATGTTGTCTGTCTATAGATGCTTTGTTGCTTACATAGTAGACAAGCAGAAGAGATAAAAGGTTTATGTATTATCGATACCCGAGTGGCTCTGATAGAGTCGACAAAAAGAAATGACAAAAAAAAAATAAAATGAAGAAAGCAAGATATATCAAGTGCAAACATGTAAGTTGATGTTGCCTGCAGCTCTCTCATATGAATATTAGGAATCATGCAATGCTATATATAGATAGACAAAGAAATTTTTTCACGTGGTTTTTGTCTCATTGAGACTCTCCTGATGAATAAATATTGAATTACTACAAAAAAAAAAAAAAAAATGAAATGTTAATCATGTATAGCTTTGCAACTTATTTCGTAATGATTAGTTATAAATATTTAGAACAGTTACAGTTCATGATTTAATAATTTCTGTATAATAACATGCGCACCTTGTCAAATTAGTAGGATGAAACGGGTATACAATGATGAGGAATTTCTTTTGTACAAAAAATAATCATGAATAAAGTCAATATTTTAATTTCTTTTATATTTACATATTCCTTATCCAAAACCAAAACATCCAATCTAATTTTTCACCTTGTACTTATAAAAAATACGCAATGCTTTTTTATTTTTCTGTGTATATTATACGTTATATCCGATTTTCTCTAACTACATATGAACCAGTTACGGACCAGTTATTTTCCACGGTTTTTTAGGGCGTTTAGGAAAATTGTTATATATATATTTATTAAGAATCGTTCATACTTACGGAATGTCTCATTTTGTAGACAAATGTTTGTTTTATGCATAAAGGTTGGACCATAATTAATGAAACGTTCGTTTCAGTAATTCTGATCCAACTTTTATGTATAAAAGATAAAATTAAAGGTTGAAAGAGAGAAGCGTTTTTAACGAATTACGTATGAAAGGGACACAAACAGTTATATAACAGATGATCACGGCCTGTCCACATAAGTTAGTCACATTTTGTCAATATTATAGAAGGAAAACTCTTACAGAGCTCGGAGACATCCTTACAAAACTATAGTATTGACGTAGGAAAATCTGGACACGTAGGCAGGCCGATCAGTTATCACGTACAGTTATGACATTTAAGAATACTCATATTTTTGTCACAATAATTTTAAATATTTTTTATTTCAAAACAAACATAAAACAAACATTTGTCTACAAGATGAGACGTTTCGCAAGTTTGAGCCATTTTTAATAAATACATTATGCCAATTTTTCTGAATGCCCTAATATCAATTATATAACTGATCGACGCCCATCGCTAGAAATCAAAGCTATTGTTTGTACACACCTTAATATAATCAGACGTCAAGGTAAAAAATTTCAAATGATATTTTATTCATTTATCCAATAAATAGTGTAAGTTATTATGTAGTCTCTATTACGCAATGTGTAATTTATTAGGTACGAGTATTTATGATTCATTGACAAAATACTCTTTACGATGATTACTGTGAATATCTTGCCATTATCAACTGGTAAAATTTGAGTCTATTTTAACCAATCATCTTTGAATTAATTTAACTACATTCAAAAAAAATCTTTCGCTATTTATCGTACTTGACAATATGAGAAATTATAGAAGCGAAAATAGTTTTTTATTTTTTTGTTGCATGCACGCATGGAAACGTCATATAGACAGTTTATAAAAGAATTTTATTTTGATCTATATGAACTTCCAAAACAGAATGTCACATAAAAGAAAAAACTATAGTATTTTAGTTTATAAATTTATGCAAATAATTTTAGATACCAAATTTTTCGTACGCATGGCGTAAGATCCTGTTCTTCGTTAAATAAGTGTCATTTTATTACAAAAAAAAAGAAAAAAAAGAAAAAGAAAAATGTTTTTTTCCAGGTAATTCATTTGTTACATCTGTTCATCAGTTGATTCAAGCATAATAATAGTTAGGTAGCAATTGTACTTATCAAAGACAACACTCACCCTTACTCAAAACAAATAGTAGTTTAATCATGCGTTTATAATGTGTATAGCTAGCATTATTTATCTATAACTAACAAAATATATCATGTTTAAAACTCATTCAAGGGTTTTAGTGTTGGTAAAAGAGACCATTATGGAAAATATGAATAAAACATAGAAGGCATTTGTTTTCTTAATCTTAATATTTTAATTTTTGTTATTTTTGAAGACATTTGACACTAAAGAAAAAATATCGAATCAAGATTGAATGAAAAACATAACAGGTAAAACATTTACTTATTTTTATCTAATATGACAGGTATATGGACGATTTATTGTCTAAAAACATTATGAAAAACGAATAATCATCAAAAATATTTTTAACTATACATATATATGCATAGTTTATATTATTAATTGACAGATGAACTAATAGTATTAAACTTAACAAAACTTGATTTCATAACACAAAATCAAAAAAATTAGATATCACTTTGATTATCATCTATATTTTAGATATATGCAATCATTCTTTCAAGGCTTATAGCTAACAATATAATTTTACTTTCTTTTATTCCTCCATAAGAATTATAGCTATTATATATCAATGTTTACATCTTGTTCTAGTTCTTGCACTATTTAAAATCAATCTTCACTGTTCAACATAGAAAAAGAAGAAGAAAAATACAAACTAGAAATTATTTCTCTTAACTATAACAGATAAAAGATTTCAAATGTTTAATTATTAACATATTTGTAAAGATTAAAAAAAGATATCTAAACAACTTACGGTTCATTTACTATATAAGTCATTGTATTTGTTTATTATTTCATTTTTTAGAAAAAAAATAAATCTCAGACAAAAAAAGAAAAATCAATTTTAACAGTTTGAAACTAAAAGAATCATAGTTATGATTATCATTTTTACCCGAAAATTATTTTTTTTATTTTTTTATGATTAACAGAACAAGCTTGTTAACAGAAATATTTATAACAATAGTGGAAGGAAAAAAAAAATATTCGTCACATTAGTACACATTTTAAAATGAAATAGACCAAAAATGAGAAAGTAGGTTCGGGACAAATTGACATTTTTTGTTATTTATTTACTTTTTTGTAAATAAATCAAATTATTCAGCATCTCATCATTGTAGAAATCAAAAATAGAGGTTTCTTTGAAATACTAGTCATTAAAGACAAAATATTAACGTGTAAATGATAAAGACTTATTTCTTCGAGAGAAATTTGATCTATTTACAATATTTTCTTTTCATTTTCTAAAAATTATCCAATAAATCAGAAAAAAAATTATTATAATTCTAATAATTTCATTTAAAATATTCTATATTATATACTAATTATAATCACGACAATTTATTATCAGTTATGTTATCAGCATATATTTTATT